CTAGTATGTGTTCGGGGTATTTTTTAAAGTATTTTTTGGTTGTTTAATTACATACCGACATGTCGATTCCGTTAATTATATGTATTTTGTGTAACTCTTGTCAGGTACTCATGTATTTGCTCAGACCTCGATTTCCCCAGTATTTTCCGCCATTAGTGTGGATGAGACTGTTTTTCATGATGGACACATCATAAATCCAATGGGAGCTCCTTGCATAACCCCCCCGGGGTTGAAACTGAAGTCATGTGTTACTTACCGAGATAGGTAACTATGTCGTACTGTTTTAATCTATTGTGTTATACTTCACACATACCACTTGGGGAAAACAATCATTGGACGGTCAAGAGTCTAGCAGTTCTACTTTCCTAACACCAACCATAGTTCAACCTCGTTTCATCGCATAACAAGGTTTGTATGTCTCACAGCCGATCTCAATACAAAGACCGGTGAACAGGCGATGCTCACTCCCAATCAGAATAGCCAATAGAAATCCACCATCACTTTTGGGGTGGCTTTTTTTTCACTCTTTGCATGTCTGCTTTCGGCATAGCCATGTGTGATATACCCGCCTACCAATAATAGGCGAACCTTGGAAGCTCTCCGCCTCGCGTGGTCACCATATACAAGGACCCAAGGGATGAAAAGGCGCTAAGATCGGCTACCCGAGTGGCTCATTCAGAGAGATCTCCACGTTCCTGACCGCAACCGCAAGGATGAATGGTTTGGTGCCTCAGCGGCTATGTATGCGTTCCCTCCACTTGTTCGCATAATGTTCACTCCGATCGGTGAAAATCTCTGCGACACGGTCCAGGGTTCCTGTGACGGAAACTAATGCCCGAAGTGGGAGGATAGTGGGTCGCTTAGAATAGCCACTCGATCTAGTCCCACTAGGTGAGAATTATTCAAGATCGGACTATTCAAAACCCATCGTTCACCAAAATATGTGGATGCGCGATTTGAATGGGTGGGGTTTTGAAAGGATGCATGGCAAACGCCATGCAAACTGAACCTCCAACCTGGATGCACGTGCAAAGAACCGTTCGCCATTTGTTCAGATTTAGAAGTGTCCATCCACCCATGCATGTTTATAGCTGATCGATCGTGTTGCAGCCATAACGCATCCCGGCGCCCTCCGCTACTTCCCCCAAATGCTGGTCTTTCACACTTGTGTTGTTAGCGCCCAGCGATCGACTAGTCGCAGTCTGTAAGTAGTCAAATTATTTTTACTTCAAGGTCCTATAGAAACAAACCAGCGATTCATGGTAGGAACGATTGACGATACTTCTACTGTATTAGTCCAGTTCTCCCTAGCGGCTACTAGAAGCACCGTAGCCAAGGGATAGATCGAAGATCTTTTGCTTCCGAAATACCCGGCCATGCCACGAGGTAGTGGCTTCCGCCACCGGCGCTCAATTTTAGGAGTACGCCCCGAGTTACGGAGTACAGATAGTACGCATAATCTGGAGAACAAGGGTGAAGTGTGCAGGGTGGGTTCTGCAAACTACATCTTACAGCGAGCTACCAGGGAAAAACCTGGTTCTCAAGAGGCAGAGGATGCGTACAGAATCATCTCCAGGCAAAGGATAAATATTGTCCGCAACTGTAGTACTTTACATTTCACTAAGGACTGGGAATGGGGACGGGTGAATGGTTCATTGAAATTGCCGGCTGTGTGTCATATCTCGGTGTAACAACGTCCCACGCCGCCCTAGTTCCTGTTAAATGACCTTGGTGGAATGGGACAGGTCGGGTTTGTAACTCAACACAGCCACGGTTGTTCCACGTTAAACCTACATACGTACGGACTCCTCCGTACGTTGTTCCTGTTCCAATGCAGCGTTGTATCGGAAAATATGTGTGGAGATTATAGCCATGACCTACGCCAATAGTAAATGCTAATACTCGAAGTCTGTTGTTCAGGTCGTGTCCCACGCTGCTGTTTCAGACTTTGACCACTTTACACCATCTGAGACTTGGAACATACGTTGTACTTTAGCTGAGGAAGTGGCTTAATATAACAAATTAGACTCTGTCTCAAGATGTTCCAGTTGAATATATCCCAGACTTGAATAAAGGATGGCGTCCATTGCCAATTGAATGGCTGGATGTTATACCCTGCCAAGATAGTTCAAAGCCAATGCTGCAGGGATATTTTGGGAGTTTCTCTGAGTCTTGAGATGGCATTGGCTGTGGGCCTCTGGAATGCTACCTGCAGGTCTCATAAATCGATCGGATGGTCGGTAACCCAGAGACATTGTAAAAAGATATGGTCTGGATCGAGACCTAGAAAAGGAAGGTGTTTGAGCATTTCTACATCCTCAGCCAAATTAAGTCATCCCAGATCAGGTTAAGCCACATTTAGCTTATACCTCGTATCGAGCGGATGCCCTGAAAATCCCAGTCTCCAGTTTTAGATATATCCCTATGCTCCGCGATCCAACCATACTTTTGCTTTGCTACATGTTCCAATCGACGAATAGTTCGGTAGTGGTCGGAATAAATTACCTTTGGGGTTTAGTGGTTTTGATTAGTGTATCTTATTCTTGCATACGAAAAGACGAAAAGAAGAAAAATGCCGAATTGAAAATTACTACAATACACAATACATGTATTCTCCACCAGTGGACTCCACCTTGACCTAAAAAGTATAGCTCACCTTTAACAAAGACAGCTTGCAATTGTGCATTGACAGGGTAGAAGGTGGAAGAGAAAATTTTTCATTCCACACTTTGCTGCAAATCATGCAAATTCAAATGGACTAAGTAATATAAAAATCAACTCGTAAAATCATAAAACCAAATGAGTGAAAACTAAATGAGTGAAAACCAAAAACATGCTAGCTATACCAAAAGAATATGTGCACATACTCGCTCGAGCCAATTTACCTCACCAGTGCACATCATACTGAAGCAAGTAATTTAAAGACAGAAATTCAAAAACTTAAGCTGCCATCAGATCGACGAACTCAGTCCACTTGGCACCAAAGGAGGCATAATAGTCTGTGCTAAGATGGGTGATGTACACCTCATCCGCGACCTGGCGCACCTGCTTGACCAGACTGCGGAGGGCCTTGCCCTCGACAGCATCAGGCACGGAGTGAACAATGGCACATAGTTGGCTACGATTGCTGTCCGTGATATTGGTGAACAGCTTGGCGCCTTGCCGTTCCTGGAACGTAGTGTAGGCAGCTTCGAACACAACGGTTGAATCTGCTGTTGCTATGTATCGAGAATCAGGAACAGCGCCAGGATTATGGACAACCTGGTAGTTTTGGTTAGCTCAATGGACTTCGCCTATGTATCCTAGAAGAAGAAGAAACCATTATGATACAGGTTGGGATGGAAGTTAATACAGCCATAGTGTGTCTCAAGTGACATGAGACTCGTATACCGAGATAAATAAAAAAAAAGCAAAATTGGATAAAACAATAAAGAAATGAAAATATAGGTCTAAGATGATGCGAGACAGGGGATGTATCGTATGGGAGAGGGAATACGGTTTCAGAAGAATTGCAATACTCACAAATTGATCAGGACCAAGATCCGTAAGGTCCTTAACAAAGTCTGTCAGCCCTTGCAGATACGTCAAGGTTTGAGCTTCGTATTGCTGAGGTGTTTCATCGAAGAAGATTCCGCGGACCGCCAGGTTGGGGTTGGAGGAATTAGTCGGCCAGTCGGCATAGGTTTGGATATCCTTGCGAACAGCAGAAACGTTGCGTTTTCCGTATGAGGTATACACATAGCCCAAAAGACGCACATTTGGGTAAGCAGTGAGCTTTGGGATCTCACGAGTGTAATTGCCATCCGGGAGAGAGTCAGGCCCCGGGCCGTTTCCTGGATTGATTACAACGGTAAAGTTGACATTGGGGTGGGTAGATATCCTGTGGCGTTCAGTAGCTGTATGTGATGGTATGGTTTGACGCCAGAACGGCGCGGCATAATGCCCGTGGCGGGCTACCGGCCGGGATAGAAAGCAGTCCAGTAACTGGGAGGGAAAAGGGAATTGGGATGGAATGGGTTAGAAACATACACATTTTCCAGCGGAGCCCACGCCTCAGGAGCAGGATATACGTAGAGTGGAACGAAAACCTTCGCCTTGGGACCCATGTTATTTTTCTTAAGAGTAGTGACGACAACGGAGGGAACAACGGCCGCAATAATCACAATTAGAACCACGATTGCCGTGATAAAACGAGAACGCTTCGACTTAAGACATGTCCGCTTGCTCACGTGTTTTTCGGGGTCAGACATATTGGTTACAGAAAGAAAGTCGAAATGAAGAAAGTGGGTTCGCGAGCATTGCCGGTTACATATGAGCAAGAATTTTCCAAAAACTGGTGGCCAACTAAAAAGAAAAAAATACACATCGAAAGAACTTGCTGGTCAACACGACCTTAGGCTGAGTGGCTCTCCGGTCAAAAAATGGATCTGGGGGCCTCGACCATATGCGGAAAGGGCTTGGCTGAGACGTCGGAAATAGAAAGAAAATACGAAGAAAATATCTTTTAAAAAAAGGTATAAAGAAAAAAGAAAAACAATAATAATTCCATTATTATACTAGCTTGGGCTGAGGCCCTAACTTACAGGCAGAGAGACACTTAGGGCATTTGGAGGTACAAAATGATATAGGCCCAGCCGCATGTCTGGCCCACCAAGGGGCATCCTGCCCGATGGTTTTGTTCCAAGTTGTGCCTACTGCCCCCCTTTGTGCTTTTTTTACTCCGCTTATGCTTGTTCCTCTTGTTCCTTTTTCTTCTATTTTTGCCGGGGGGACTGTGCTAGACCCTCATTCGCCAAGGGATGGCATAATATATGAACTCAAACAGAGAATCCGAATGAGGTAACGCAGGTACCTCGCTTGTTTTGTATAAAACCTTGGTTAAGGGCCCACCGAAGAATTAGGATATCTCAGTCTTGGTCATATAATAGTATAAAACATTTTTCTCTCATTGTTTGAAGTGGTAGCATAACTTACCTATCATTCATTGTCGACTTCCCGCCATGATTGAGCCAACATCACTTTCCTCTTCGAGGTCGGACAGCCCCCAAAGGTCCAATGCAAGCAGTCCTGTGCAATCTCCCATCGCCGTCGACACGCCCGCAACAGAGGCTGGAGACCCATTCGACAATATCCATGACTTGTTGCGCAGAATCCCTTTGCAAAGCCACATTCTTGTCACTGGTGGTCTCGGTTTCATTGGTAGTCACACCACGCTTGAGCTGCTCAAGGCAAACTATAACGTTATTGTGATCGACAATCTTAGCAACGCATTCGAGAATGTTTTCGACCGTATCAGCCTGTTGGCCAAGAAGCATCACGAGGAGAATGGCACGAAAATGCCATCTCTCCGATTGCACGCACACGATTATCGTGACACCAAATCTCTTCAGCCGCTGCTTGAGGAGTACCAGCTCCCATCCAGGTGGGGAACTCCCAAGTCGAGAATCGCCGGAGTCATCCACTTCGCGGCGTATAAAGCGGTGGAGGAGAGTATTCGGAAGCCACTGAAGTATTACTCCAACAATGTTAGCGGGCTTGTCGACTTTGCCACAACACTTGGAGACTTCGGCATCAAAACCTTCATCTTCTCGTCTTCCGCCACCGTATACGGAACTCTCGCAACCTCGGGTCTTCCATTGAAGGAGGAACTCTGTGTTCACAAGGAAGAGTTGTACACAGATCACGCAGGCTCACAACAATCCATCCAACCTGGATGCACTGGAATCACCAACCCGTACGGACGCACAAAATGGATGTGTGAAACCATCCTGGCCGACTTGGCCGCATCAGACCCCGAATGGACTATTGTTGCACTCCGCTATTTCAACCCCGTTGGATGTGATTCTTCCGGTCTTTTGGGCGAAGACCCAAGACAGGCGCCAACAAACCTGCTTCCCGTCGTTGTCAAAGTCATGACCGGCCAGTATTCGGAACTCGCGATGTTTGGGACAGATTGGGAAACCGAAGACGGCACTGCCGTCCGTGACTTCATCCACGTTAGTGATCTAGCTCGTGGGCATATTGCCGCGCTCAGTTCGGCCAACGAGGGCAAGCTGACAGAAAATTTCCGCACATTCAACCTCGGAACTGGAAAGGGTAATTCCGTGATGGATGTGGTCAGCACTATGGAGTCTGTTATTGAGAAGCCCATTCCTCGACGTGCTGCGCCACGTCGCGAAGGTGATGTTGGAGCCTGCGTTGCGGTCGTCGACCGGTCGACGGAAGAGCTTCAATGGAAGACAGAAAAGAGCCTGAAGGATGCATGCCAGGACATCTGCAATTTCTTGGATGTCAGTGGTCTGTCTTCATAGCGCGGTCCTCGTACTGTGGGTCCGATATCACAGTTGTGTTTTGTTTGCTTTCCCGCCTGTTCTTAATATACCTACTCACTGGAACAATGGCCCTTTGGATGCATGTGTTTTAGTATGGTCATTGTCTATTTGTTTGTTATTTTAGCATGTTAATTAGAGTTGCATCACTCGCGAGCATTCCCGATCGGGCCGTGTGACATTTTCCCATTTGGGTGCACAGAGTCATTATATATGTCGCTTTCTTGCGATATGCGAATTGCACAAAATTTGGCATTGGATCCTTAGAATTTGTAGGAGGCATTTTCAGAGAACACTGGTAACCGAGAACTAGGAACTACAACAGATGTTCACTAGATGAGATGTGTGTTATCACGTGATATAGAATATTACATCTGGACACACCTGGTGTGGGTGACGACGTCAGGACAGGAAATATTGGGAGTGGTGGCGCACCGAAGATATAAATTTGCGACAAATATAATCTACGAGCAGATCAGAGCCTTGCAGCAAGAAATGAAGCTGCCGTACGCCATATATGCTGTCGTATCACGTGACCCATCTCCGTCTTGGCATCAAATATGGCCGCAGTTTTCTGCGACAGCTCTGTCTCCGCGCGTGTCTTATTGCATCTTCAACACAATTGGGATTCGTTGTCGTCCAAGGATTCTCTTGAACCTTTTAATACTGTCCTAGCCTATTTTCCATCTTTCTCTGAATTGTCCCGTCACAATGATCTGCAAAAGCTGCCGCACGACGATGTTGTCCCGATTCAACCAGCAGCCAGTGATTCGGACGGCTTCAGCATGCGCGCGCCAGCTGCCTCTGGTTCGCAGCCAATTCCGCTCATATAGCAGTGATAACAACCCTTCTGTGGCTGCTACTCCTTCTCCGCCCTCCCCCCGCCAACCCACGGTCGGAGACCTCACAACCCCGTCCGCCATCTCCTCCGCTACCCCCGGCGTTTCTCAGCCTTTGAGCACCCCCGAAGGTGTCCACACCGATGCCAACCCGGGAGCTTCAACAAAACCCACTGCCGTGCGCCCACCGAGCAGCTGCCCGGCTGGAACCAAACTGAACGGACTCAACTACTTCAAGAACAAGCCGGATGTCTTCGCCAAGGAGGATTCTGAGTACCCAGATTGGCTATGGAACCTCTTGGGAGATTCCACCAAGGACGCAAAGACTAAGCAGGGTGGTGTTGACCCAAGCAGTAAGTTATCTCCTGGATTTCTGGTTGTTCTTAAGATACTTACCCTGTCGCAGCCTTGAACAAGAAGCAACGAAAGCGTTACGAAAAGAAGCTGGCAGCCCGTACTGGCCCCCTCGCTGCTAAGATCCCCGCTCACCACCACGCTCACGATATCACCCCCGCACCCTACAACCGCGATGCTCCTTCAGCGGATGCCATGGCCGATGCCACCGAAGGCTTCGAACAGCGCTCGGAAATTATCAAGAGTGCACGCGATGCCAGACGGAAGGCCATCAAGGAGTCCAACTTCCTCCGCGGTCTGTAAGCTCGTTCTATATCAATTCGAGTGGAACACATGAAAGCGATTGTACTTTTCTTGTTGGGGTTGTGTCGCAGGCGCCTAGAACCGCCTCAATACTGTTGGATATTGGATAGACCGGGCTCTCTGGAGCATCCGGGATGTATTATTACATTGATTTGTTTTTTTTCGATTGTGCTATATATCAAATGATACTTGTCTTAGATCTAAGCTCGCCGCAGAGTATCCCGAACAGCCACCTCCATCGCTGAGAAAGTCGAGGTGTATAACTTACTGGGGAATCGGCCAATCCTTCTCCTCTCCCTGTCCTTCAAGCCAGGGCAAACAAGCTTCATAAAGCGTTTTGAACTCCCCCTCCCCAAGAGCAAGCATCTTGTCAAAGATATCCTGGTCAAAGCGCTGGAACCAAGCCAAAATTGAAGCGAGAATCATATCCGCATAGCCAGCGCTCTCACCCTCCAAAAATGGCCCCTTTTTCCCTTCCTTACCCTTCAGCATCTTAATCAGCGCCTCCGCATCCTTCTCGATAATCTGCCACAAAGCAAGCAACTCTGACTCATCCGTCGGCCTAACCTCAGAAAGCGGCTTCCCGAAAGCCACAGTGCGCGTCCGGATAAAGTACTCCCGTCCGCGCTCATCAAGTCCAGATGGAACGTTGGGAATAACCATCAACCTGTAACTCGGTGAGATCAAGCTCACTATCTTCTGCACGGCGATCACGAGCGAGTAGCTTGCATCGCCGGAGGGGAAGAGCGGAGGTGATGGGTACAGCTTGTCAATGTACATGGCGATCGGCTCGGAATCCATGAGCACACCGTCTGGGTTGCTCGTTATCGACCCCTTATGGCTGATTGCCGGTAGTGTGTAAGGTGTCGCTGATTTGCCAGGTGGGACACCATGAGCCTTGAGTAAAGGTGCAATATCGGGGTATGATACCCAGCTTTGGGTATAGGGGATTCCCTTGAAGTTAAGGACCATTCTGGTCCGGAGGGTGTTGGGAGACCATGACTTGGAAGGGCCTGGTTAGGTTAGAGGTCTGTAGAATCATCTAACTTTGGGGTTAGTCCGTACCGGGTAGGTCTGATAGGAGGTCGAAGAAATGGATATTGGATTCAGTCATTGTGTAATTGTACGTAAATTATATATCCTTAGAGTTGAAGTTGAAATGAGTGTCCGGATTGTTGACATGTAGTTCTACTTATATATACAACAGACCTCAGGAGCGGGGCATTTGATTTATCAGCTGAAGCGGAACTCCGGGAATACGTAGTTGCTGATAAAAGGCTTTTCGGTCTTTTGTTACTAGATAATAGCCTTGCTATCAATCTGATACTTTCATGATTCGTGTGAAGCGATGAAGCTATGAATATATGAATATATGAATCTATGAATCTATCAAGCGAGATAATATTGAACAAATCCATATTTTGTGAAAATCCACATTTCCTACATACAAGCCATTTGCATGTTCGAACTAAAGATAAACACATCAGGAATTCATTTGGACATTTGGACATTTGGTCATTTGAAAGTCGAAAGTTAAAAGTGTCCACGATGATATTGGCAGAGGGGCACCACGTTGGCAGTGGGGAGTTGGACGCACGGGTCACTTTAGGATTTTCTCCTCACATCCACGACATGTCATTTCTACATCGTGATACATTGATGGTCAATTCGATCTAAGTTCACAAATATATACCTGCCACACTGAAACAAGCGGGGCAATCCTTCGCCAATAATCCTACCCCTCCACTTACCGAACTTCCATAAGGTTGCATCTCCTAGCATACTCCCTACCGGAACGGAATGGCCCACCAATATACCAGTGCAAAAATGGAGAAAGTTGAAGCTCTCGTGGACCGTGCTAAACACCTAGTACTCCACGAGCCACCCGAGACACCGTCATACACCGTGGACAAATTCCACCCAACTTTGGACGATCATATCCAGAAGATCTACAAGTCTGTTGGTGCATATGCTCCGACTACAAACTACTTTCTCCAAGAAATGCAACACGACACTACAGTTGCAACTTCTTCCGAGCCAGTTGCCGACGTTTTGGCTTCTATGGATGCCTTTCGTGCATACATGAAGGACGCGAACTCGTCTGCGATGGCAGTAGAAGAAGCCCTCGATCTTTCTGCACCCATTTCAGATTACTTTATCTCGTCGAGCCACAACACTTATTTGACGGGCAATCAGCTGTACAGTGACGCTGCTGCTAGTGCCTATACATCTGTGAGTTGATACTTCGAAGAATGATCCTACCATTTACGCCCCATGAATGTTATGACCTCCTAGGACCTGGAGTTTATGATTGACTCATGCTCCAACAGGTCCTCCTCCGCGGCTGCAGGTCCGTGGAGATTGATGTCTGGGACGGAGAATCGGACACCCCGAACTCAAGCGACAGTGAGAGAGATAGCGACAGTAGCAGCAGTGATTCGGAGACGGAAGAAGGGAAGGGTATAGGGAACAAGTTGAGAGAAAAGACGAAGTCTGGGGAGAGTCGCCACAAAAACCCCGCCAAAGAACAGAAAGGGTCATTGTCGTCGAGATTGGAAGCTAAACTTGGTGGTGTCCTTCGTCGCAAATCCGTCAAGTCGCCTCAGCGATCATCAGACGAAGAGACCGCGACGAGCCACATGCCCGTTCCTGTTGAGCCTCGTGTGCTGCATGGCCATACCCTAACCAAGGGAACCACATTCCGTGAAATCTGCTATGCAATCCGTGACAGCGCATTTGTTACCAGTGATCTTCCACTGGTTATTAGTCTCGAGGTCCATGCATCTCTTGAGCAGCAACAGACGATGGTTGACATCATGTTGGAGGCGTGGAAAGGACTTCTCGTGGATGCTCCTCCAGATGATGGAAAACTTCCCTCGCTAGCTGATCTGAAGAAGAAGATCTTGATTAAGAGCAAATGCATTCCATTCGGTGCCGAGGACGGGAAACCCGAGGGAGAAGCTCTGACGCCGCAGAACTCCGATGATAAGTCCTCAGGGCAGCAGCCGGCGAAGCCATCAAAGATTCTTGACGCTCTGGCCAAGATGGCAGTTTATACGCGCGCGTATCATTTCAGCCATTTTGATCAACCAGGTATGCATCATCATTGTAGATATAGTCATGAAGGCGATACTAATTTGACCATCAGAGGCCAAAGTTCCTCTCCATGTGTTCTCGCTCTCCGAGAAAGCAGCGCGAGAAGCCCATGTCACCCATCGCGACGCTTTGTTCGAGCACAACCGAACATCTATGATGCGTATCTACCCGTACGCATTCCGAGTCACCTCATCGAACCTTGATCCAACATTCTATTGGCGGCGTGGTGCCCAACTGGTAGCATTGAACTGGCAGAACCTTGATAAGGGCATGATGCTCAATCACGGAATGTTTGTTGGAACCCACGGCTGGCGACTGAAGCCCTCCGGCTACCGAAGTGGCAAAGGTTCTCCGACCAATGTCATCGAGCGCCGCAGCTTGACCCTCTTAATCGAGATATATGCCGCCCAAGATCTCTCTCTGCCGCCGGGCGACCACAGCGAGAGGGGATTCAAACCCTATGTGAACTGCCAGCTGCATGTCGAAGAGCCCGAAGGCGATGTTACCCCGGACCAGGATGACGCCAGCTCTGATACGGAGAAGAGCAGCTACAGACGGTGCACGAAGAGTTCTTCAGGTCGGAACCCGGACTTTAAGGGCCAGAAATTGGAGTTCCCGACCGTGACGGGAATAATTGAGGAGCTGAGTTTCCTACGGTTAGTCTTTCTTTTCGATTTCTTGCTTACATCGATGTATCGAGTAATTTGCCTCGTACTTTGTCCTCTTCCTTGCTCGACAAGATTTCCCCTTGCTGCCTTTCTACCTTCTGTCACATGAGTCCGTTTTGAGTATGCAGGCATAAACACTGCATTGTGATACCCGTCAAAGAACGCATGCTCTTTCTCGCATCACATAAACATGACGACAGGGCTTAGTATTTGCTTCTTCCGGGCTTCCGCTTGGTAGCACGATGCATTATCTGGGCTTGGGCTTAGCAAGGCGGCCTATTGCTTTTCTTAGAATCCCCACTACCATGCCACTGCCCTATAATGCGTTTCACATTCCAAGATGCAAGCATTATGTATAAACAAGCCATTGACTCGATCTACTTCTTAGGATCAAGATCAAGGACGACGAGATCGGTCGGGATCCATTGGCTGCATGGGCTTGCATCCGACTTGACCGGCTGCGGGAAGGCTATCGGCTGATTCATCTCCACGAATGCGCTGGTGAGAAGAGTGGTGGTGTGTTGCTGGTTAATATTGTGAAGCAGGTTACTTAACTAGCCAGAATATGTTATCACCGAAAGTGTCTGCGTTGGTCTTTCCAATTGTTAATAGTATTAACGTAATGGATACGACAAATTGTGATATTTCGGCAAAGGAAGAGGCCATTCAAAGAGATACAGCGCTAATACCACCGTTTGTCTTTGGGCAGAGTTTGGGCATCATGTCGTACAGCGCACTTCCACATTAGGAGCACCAGGAGCAAAAAACTCACAGGAAGGCACGTCAACATCTGACAAATGTGATAAGTCCTTCGGCATGTGTATCACAAGCTCATTTCGATCTCATTTCGATGTCATTTCGGCATGACCAAAAGCGACAGGCTACAGCTTAGCGATCGTGATTGTGAGATGCAATCATGCCACCCAGCTTGCATATCTGATTCGAGGACGTAACACAGAAACAATGGCACGTTAGCATCTAGCCTCTCCTAGATTTTCAAGATTGCATTGTGTAGAGGCGTGGACAACAGTTTGGCCAAAAAAAAAAAAAAAAAAAAAAAAACACAGTCAACAGAAAGGACTCACTAGTCTTGGTCTTACACTTTCTTGCCGAGGGTCTCCAAGTAAAGGTACGACGACTAATCTTAGAGTAGATCATATCTTGTTTTAGCTGAGCAGCAATGTGTTGGCATCTTAAGTGAGTGCATGTGGAGGTCCTACTCCGCGCTGTATGCGGTGTTGTGCTGGTGTCATATATCACTTTTTAATTATTAGCCGCATGATATGCATTGTACCGATGCCGCGCATGGGTATGATGAAACAGGGTTGTATATGTCAGTTTCCCGAGGAGCACTAAGGTAGATGTGCATATATTACTTCAGTGAGATCTGAATGGTCACTTTATTTTGCTAGGTCAGCTATGTGACAACTTACTATGAGACCCCGAGAAGCGAGAGAAAAGTAGCGATGACAGGTAAGACGGAATATAACAGGCAAAAGGGCGTTAAATAAAGAGGATTGTTGGCAAGACATGGGTAAGAACGTGGGATAACAGTGCGACCTTGGACTTCCAGTCACGTTAGCCTACATATATGTACAGATAGTACGTCGGTGAACTCAAAAAAAAAAAAGCTTGCATGATGCGAGCCATAGCTCCCCCACCGTGGGGTTCATATTATATATCATGTAGAAGATCGGTGAGACCGAGTGTAAAGCCTGAAATTACCACGGAGTATAATAATATCACCTTGAAGACCACACAGCATTAAGAGTGATCAATGTGCCAAGCGATATGCATCAGATTGATCAACATGGCTAGTGGGGGCTAACAGATAAGTCAAGTTGACCGGTAAATCCTCCGATAAGTTGTGGCCAAATACGATCACACGTCATTTTAAAGGATAATACGAGATGTCCACGGCTGATCTTAGATTTCTACCGCCATAGAGTAATTAGTGAACAAATCGATATCGTTCTTCAGACAGGTATTTGTCATTGACAGATAGTGGAGGGGTTCATGCGTCACATTCTTGAAATTTGCATGCATAACAGGGTGAGAATATGTCCTGGGACAAACGGGCCACATCGATGTAGCCAGTGATCGGACGGGATCGTCATTTGAGGAGTGGAGGGGACCCATGTCGAATCCAGTCAGCCAATCACGGCACTAGGACGACCGAGGATGACCGAGCACTAGACCCATCTTGGATATGCCATAAGGTTCTGGGGTTGATACGTCAACTCTTAAATGTGCTGAGAGTTGCAATCCTAGTCTTCCCCCTTTTTTTTTGAAGTATCGGTGAATTCATGCAAGTTGCCGAGGCTCACTGAATGCATTACTTTGTCTCATCACCTTGAATTGGTGATTGAGCTCTAGGAAGCAAACATCACGAGCTTCCAGGACTAGAAGCCTCGGAAGGTACCGACGTTACTGTGATTGGCTTTAGTGGGCCAGTGGCGTACAAAAAGGGGTTGTGACAACCCTGTTTTTGGTTCATCTTTGGTTCTAATGTTCGTGCAGCAAAAAGCCAAGCTGTCAGGACGAACATCCATCTACTATCACTCGTTGATATCATTGGGGAAACAAGAAGTGAGCTGAGCGGGAACTACCGAGTGTCCTAAGTTTTAGATATTAATTTTGAGATTACATTTTTTGGGTTTTCTTTTTCTTTTTATTATGGTTTTTTATTTTTTATTTTTTATTTTAATTAATTATTTTTAATTCTTTGATTCTTTTCTTTGCCTTTGATTAGCCGGTGTGAACTAGATCTATTCTTCGCTTTCTCTTTCTTCCCTTGTCCAGGTCTTATAAGGACCCCTCCTCATCCTATTCCCATGACTTTGTCTCCAGACTTCGACCTAAAAGAAATCTAACGCTATCCTCGGACTTCGGCAAAGAACTCTATTCATACCCTTCTCACTCCTTTCTTCACCGAAATACCTAAATACCATGGCTTCCTCCAAATGTGCCGTTCCGGTGTGCTCAAACTCCTCTACCGCCACCAAGGTTCGTACTCCCATTCTGCGTCATGAACGTGATACTTTCCAGTGATTTTATAAAAACATACTAATTACCCCACAGATGCCAGGTGTGCGATGCCCCAATTGCCAAGCGCAGGGGAAAGAAGTTTGGGTTATCCCAGGCAAGAACTGTCACATCTGTCACACACCTTGTGCCTGATACGCTCGGGATCCTGTGTTGCACATATCCCATGACGAAAAAGACTGTGTGCAGTCATATGCACCCATGCTTTCCGGGCATGATCTGATTCCTTCACATCATAGCATCTCCCAATGATATGGAGACTCTTTGAATCTCAAGAATGAATCCAATAGATCCGAACACACGGAGGGCCTACGGATATTCTGGAGATCGACACCCCACCCTTATTTGGCGTTGGGTAAACCTTAGGCGAAAGCGCAATAGGTTTCTACCGGGGTATTTCTGTTTCCATTTCTCTTTTCTTTAGCGTTTTCTGATAATGAGATACGACATTTTTGCTTTCCCTTCAGTCGATAATGTTAACCAATATAATCGGGTGCTATCTTTACCATCGGCCCAAGTACGAGGATTTATTAGATCAGGTAGAACTCACGTTAAATTGGGCTTCCTCAAGTACTTTTGTCCTGCATATACAATATGTACATATAAAATAATAGATAGTCCCACGTGGGAGTCTCTAGATTACATGACATCATTCACCTATACCTTATAACGTACAGAGCGCAACCAGGAACAACTCCAACGCTACCGTAATACATACATATATATATATATATATGTGTGTGTGTGTGTGTGTGTGTGTGTGTGTGTGTGTGTGTGTGTGTGTGTGTGTGTGTGTGTGCTTGTGTGTGAATATAGCTATGATGCGTATTTAGATACCTGGAGCGTGATTTCCTATCTGACCTGAGGCTATTTTAGCGAAGGTCCATGCGCCCCTAGGCTTAGCTGAGCAGGCTCACTACCTAGGTACCCGTGGACCTAGATTGCTTAGATATGAATACGGGATCAGATCTACCCTAGAGTAATTATATTCAAACCAAGTAAGTGTATAAATCATGCTTAGTGAGTGCCGGGCGGGACGGTTGTTCAGTAAGCCACTACCCCTAAGTAGACACTGTTGTGGAGCTGAATACATGCATCGATATGACTAGGGTGCTTATGATATGTTCTATCTCTATATTTTGGGCAGGACATCAGAGAAAATGCATCCTGGGGTAGGCAGAGAAGGTTAAAAAAAAGCTCAGTTGATATATAACCCTCTACGAAGTACAGAGCATGTCAACCCACACAAGCACGAATGACTCTAGGTGTCTTCATCGGACCAAAGAGTGCAAGTCACAATATAATAGGTCACTAGTCTTAGCATCTTGTACTTCTGTAGATTCGTCTTGCCATTTGGTTCTCACACCGTCGGTTATGGCCGGGTCTAATTACAACGGTCGACAAATCTCGAAGTGACGAAGCTCTTCGGGGTGAGTCGTATTCTACAATGTTCTCTCGTGTCATTACCTATGCATTTTATGTGGTATTATAACAAAGTCAGGTCAAAACAAGGCCAACAAGCCTGTACTCCTAGGCTCGATGTTCATAAAGCGGCAAGCGGTAAGCCCAAAAACAGCAAGGGAAATGCTCCGTGACTTGGCATTTACCTAGTACGTATACGTCACCCTTCAACTTCCATTTGCATATTCCATTGCATCCGTAAAAAAAACGCACATTGAAAAACAGAATCTAAACCGTTATGACGAAGTATCCCACCGGAACACGCGCTGAGAGCGAGCGTCTCGTCCGCGAATGGGGGTTTCGACATATCTTCACCTGGACAGATGGAAGGTACGTGCAGGGATATTTCTTTTGTGGAGACGATACACCCAAGGTGGGAAGTATCCGATTGAGTCACCGGCAGCAAATCGATCCTTCATCAGCGAGTGTATGTTGTATATACCGATGCTGACCTTGTACGTCAGCAACGTCTATTATTCCCCGCACTCGCATAGCGGTCTAACAACACATCTTATTCGCCGTGGATCTCTGACGATCACTTACCCTGATGATAATGCTAAATTGTATAATGGGGAAGTTAAAAAGGAGACGTTTCGTGTTGGAGAGAGGGTTGATGTTCCTGCGGGTAAAGTTCATGAGGTTTGGATTGGGAATGAAGGGTGTGAGTATGTGATTGGAGAGTAGGAAGGATGCCACTTTTGTTTATACTCCATATATTGGTCATTTTTACTACTTTGGAAATCCGTTGATGAACGGTTTGGTGACGTTAATGCCGAATGAGCTCAGCTCATTGTTTTGTTCTATTTGATATTTTGAAGTCGAGTTGTTGCCTCTATAATCCAATCATATATATGCCAGACAGTGTAGTCATGTATCTAATGCAAAAATCGGAAATCCAGTCTGTAACGCGGTCATTAGCATTCACTTGTGCAGCAAAAGAGACAACTTCTAGACATACCTCTTGTTTCCAAGGTCTTTGTTCTCAACCACGTATCGTGACCGCTCTTCGCTGGACATTTTATCCCAAATAGCAGCATTTTGTCTAGAAGAAAATATTAGCAAATGTAATTTGACTGATCAGAGTACATGGGTTAACATACTTGTTACGCCTCACATAGTAAATCTTGGCAGCGATGAATACTGCCGCACTCCACACCGCAAGAGCCATGAGGACCCTATTACCGGTGTGATAATACGGCTTATCTTCGGTGCGGTAGATCTGGACGGGATAGTTAGTTATGATAGCTTGAGTACATAAGGTAACTGGAACAAGGACTCACGTTGTTACCAATGATGCTACTGGCCTGCACCATCATGTTGTAGACAGCAGTAGCCACCGTTCGCGTCCTCACGGAGCCTGCATTGCGGGATGTAATTGCGACAATAATAGCGTGCACATAAGGCATGCCAATCAACAGGATCAGCAGAACCCAACGCACCCAAGCACCGGCACTCTCAGAAATAGTCTCCAACGCGATTAACAGAACCAGAGCCCAAAGCTCAGCACCGACACCAAGCAGAAGTCGCTGATTAAAGCGCTCTGATACCCAAGTCCACAATAGCAAATTCGCAATGAAGATCACATAGGCCGGGATGGTGAGCAGGTTCGTGTTGAAAGTGCTGAAACCGAGCGACTTCAGTTCCAGACTGATGTACGACGTAGCCGGTGTGTTGGGGATCATCCAAGTCAAGCCGATCAGGTAGATGAGCCACATGTCGTAGTCCTTCAGGGCCTGCCAGAGGAGCTTGGGAGTAACGGCTTGGCGATTGTGCATGGATCCCTTGCTAGGGTCATCGCGGAGCACACGATTAACCATGATTTTCTCTTCGTGCTCATTAAACCAGCCATTCTTACCGCGGAACCGGCCGGCGGTCTGCGTTGGCGAAGGTGGCATCCAGAATGCAGCGGCGATGCCGATCAAACCGGTAATCAAACCCTCCAGGGCAAACAGGTATCGCCAGCCTCCGGTGCCATCCGATTGGCGAATGTGGAGGAAGCCGAAAGCAAGGAAAGCACTGACAATTGCGGTTGCTTCATATGTCATCCAGAAGAAGCTGAGCCTGATAGGCAACTCCTTGGACTTGTACCAGAATGACAGGAAGAGGATGGTGTCTGGAATAAAGCCACCCTCGAGAAGACCGAGCATAGCACGGGTTGCGAAGAATCCGCTCTTGTTTTGGATAAATGCCTGGCATGAGGCGATGATACTCCAGCTTACCATTTGCACGGGAATCCAGCGATCGGGGCCGACCCATTTCGATATGAGCTGGGAGGGCAGCTCGGCGAAGAGGAATGTTAGGTAGAAGATTGTTTGACCAGTGTTGTAATCGTTTGTGGTCATGCCAAGGTCGTCTAGCATGTTGTCTGATGTGGCTTGGACGACATTTCCACGGTCTAGCTGGAGCGCAAAGAAAGTTATACAGGCAAATGTGCAAATGCGCCAGTCAATCTATTACACGGTCAGTTATTATGTACACAACACATGTGGGCTTCAATAACCCATACCTTTCTAACAATGGCTGTCTCTTCTTGCTCTGTCCACTCAAAGTCCGGGTCCCAGCGATGGGCACCCTCATATTCAGGAATGGGCTTGTAGAACCGGGGGTCCTCAGTGGTATCGAAAGCGCAGTCGGTCTGCTTGGCACGAGGACCTTCATACGTCGACGAAGACGAAGACTCCGCGGATGAGACTCTTGGGGCAGTCTTAGAGTCACGGCCTTCGGCATCGGAGGCCGTTATCTTGGCTTCTTCAGCCGCCATCTCGGAGTATCGGGATCGGAAGTTAGATTACGGATAGAAGAAAAGAAGCATTGTTTGGTTGGATGGGCATTAACCCCTATAAAGGTAGCAAGGCGATATGAACATTTACTTATCACGCCATATTCAGCAGATGTCTCGCTTAGGCCGCTCCATGCGTGGGCCAGCCGAGAAGGTAAATCTCACAACATTGATAACAGAAAATTTTGCAATTGCCGGGTGTGACATGTATGGGTGATTTAGAGTCCCAATTGCGACCTAGTAGGTTGACCTAGGGAGGCCTAGGCTCGAAGTGGAAGCGCCTCCCGCGGGATCGTGGATATTGTAGATCGGAATGTGTCCGAATATAAGAGATTTCAAGCAATTAGGAATGAGCATTCAATAAAATAGACGAAGAGCCGACGGATGTTGTGTGGTTGGGTGTTGGCTTGGCTGAATCACGCAAGTGTAGTGAAAGTGACGTTAGAGTCCACTAGTCGGCCGAGTCAAATCAAGCAGGGGTGTTTCACAAACTTCAACCTGTTTCATGAAAGATCTACATGATATACTCCATAGAAAGTATAATATAAATATAATATATTATTGTACGGGTATGGAGTTGTCATATTAGTTATATTAACTATATGTTGTAGTTATATGGGGTGCGGAGTCCTTATACCCTATCTTGGCATCTATTCAATCTTAAAACATTGACTACAGAGTGTATATATATTGAACATGATATAGCATTGACTGTTAAAATACCAAGTCAAAAATAACGAAATGCAAAAAAAGAAAGAAAGAACGTTCAAATGTTGCGTGAGGGAAGTTATGTATCACGCCATAGTAGACCCAATGGCACATCCCATCGAGGTCGAGCCTACGAATAACCTCGACTCTTTCAAATCACGGCGATTGTCAGTGGACGCACGCCATTCTTTATCACGTCATCCTCAACATAACATGCTAAGACGCTGATATACTATACAATATACAACCTTCCTCGCGTAACCCCGCAGGCTCGTCGGCTCGCTCGCGATGATAACGGAAAGTTGATGCTGAATTGTCATCCCGCAAGAACCGTGAACCCCCGCAATGATGGCGTAATTCGTGCTATCTCGGTTTGATCGTGCCGAAATGGTTATATATTGGCAGGGGTTAATCCCCTACGACAGCAAAGACACGGAGAAACAGATCTGCTCACAGAGGCAATATAAACATTTTTTTTTAAACTCAATCCTAAGACATGGCTCCCTCCCTCACTGAATCAGTAGGCCTTCGGGCCCCGCCTGTCACACTTCCGCTGAAGTCGGATGGCGGCCAGAATAAGGAGAACTTGGTCGGATACAAGATCGAAAGGGAGCGTGAGATTAAGGGCACAGACAAGCTACCTCCTATATCCTATCCGGAATATCTGCCTGTTTGGGACAACGAGACAGAAAGGTATATCTATACCCCGGCCCTAATGCCGCCCCGCATCCCCATGAATATCATATCTAACAAACGTCTAGATACCCTCCTCTGGAGCTCTTTGAGCACTACGACCACGGCAAAGATGCCGACGCCTCTTTCCCAGACCTGTTGCCCAAGGGCCAAGTCGAGGTTGACCAGATCACTCCCTTCATTGGCTCTGAGATCCACGGCGTGCAACTAAGCCAACTGTCTGACAAGGGGAAGGATCAATTAGCCCTCTATGTTGCACAGCGACGAGTTGTCGGTATGTAATCGGAAGCATTTCTCCCTCGCCCTTGTAAGCATGAGTCTAACAAATCTAAATAGCCTTTCGCGATCAAGACTTCGCGTCCCGCCCGATTCAAGAGGTTGTCGACTATGCCGGCTACTTTGGCCGACACCACATCCACCAGACCTCAGGGGCCCCCAAGGGTTTCCCAGAGATTCACCTTGTCTTCCGTGGTGCTGACGATCGCACCGGCGATACCTTCCTGAAGCAGCGCACTAATACTATTGCATGGCACTCTGATATCACCTTCGAGAAGCAGCCCCCCGGCACAACTTTCTTGTATGTGCTCGACGGCCCCACCACGGGTGGTGACACCCTGTTCGCCGACATGGTCCAGGCATACAAGCGCCTGTCGCCTGGCTTCCGGGAACGACTCCACGGATTGAAGGCTGTACACTCCGGCCTCGAGCAGATTAATGCCAGTTTGAATCGCGGTGGTATTGCCCGCCGTGATCCTGTTACCTCGGAGCACCCCATTGTCCGAACTCACCCGGTAACTGGCGAGAAGGCACTTTACGTGAACCCTCAGTGTAAGTCAGGATCAATACATCTGGTGAAAGATTTGGAAAGCTGACATGTCTTGTTCTTGTCGCATAGTCACCCGTTACATTGTTGGATACAAGAAAGAGGAATCAGACCACCTCCTCAAGTTCCTGTACGACCACATCGCCTTGTCGCAGGATCTGCAGACTCGTATTCGCTGGAAGGCTGGTACCGTCGTTGTCTGGGATGTAAGTTATAGCACCAACCTGCTATTTAACGAGAAAGGACGCTAACCTTCGCAGAACCGTGTGGCATGCCACTCCGCCGTTTTCGACTGGGAGGATGGCCAGCGTCGACACATTGCTCGTCTCACACCCCAGGCTGAGCCTCCCTATGAGACACCTTTTGATGGTTAGATGGGGCGCTGGAAGCCTTCGAGTTTAAAATAACACATAGCTACGATAATCTCAACCCCGAATTGAGAAGAAACGAATAGCAAGGAATAATTTGATTCGTGAATATGCTGCATGCAAGTCATAGGCTTTCGTAATTTGTATCATACAAAAAGCCCAACAACTCACGCCTTACGCCTGAAACGACTCAAAAGCCCAACATTCCACTCGTTAAACCTCCTAGCAGAGAGTGGGAGCATTTCATTACTCCCAGTCAATGCTTGCGACATTGCTTCAAATATCATAGATGGCAATTCCAACTCTTCCACCG